GAAGCTGCCGCTGGTGCCTGGCGCTCTCCACCGCGCCTTGGCAAGGGCCGCGCTCTGCCGCCCTCCGCTGCGCCATAGCTCCGCACTACGCCGAGGCCCGCCGGCCTGCAAATCAGGCCCAGAACAGCCCTCACCGGCAACCGAGAGCCACGGGAAGGAGGCGGGACTGACCGCTCCTCCCACCCCACCAGGTCGCGCTCCCGTCGCCGCACAGCGCATGCGCTGCTCCGGCCTGGCCCTTTTATGAGGCGTATTATGGGTTTTGCGCTTCTGTACCGTGATATACGGGAGCACGTGTTTGGCTTCACGTTGTGAAATGCGGTGGTGGGTTAGTGACGGTAAATATGGTAACGCCTCCTTTCTGGGAACGTCTATATGGGTATATACGGTAATCGGACGTGCGCTCAATAGGGATAACTATGGTGCGGGGTGCCCTCTCACTTTGTTTCTATCTCCAAGAAGAAAGGTCCAGTTCGGTGTCTTGAATGAGCCGCACTGTGCTTCCCCGGGAAGAAGGAAAACTCTCCGAGCTGTCTCAGGATTTTCTTCACGTCTCTTCCTGTCAGTAAGAGGGTTTGAAATCCCTCAGAAAAGCCAGAGCATTATCTCCCGATGTTCACAGATTCCCTGGCATTCAAGACGAATCTGGCCTGGAAGCACCTATTTCCTCATGCGATCTTCTGGCAATAGGACATCTCTTAACCTTTCAACACTCCTCGTCAGCAAGAAGCGTTACAGTAAGTGTTCTCCAGGTGGAACACTCTGAACTGTGCAGACAACGCGCATTGCATGAGCTTCTGGGCAGGCGTGTTGGCAGAGGGAGAGGGTGTGTCACCCACTCGCCCCTGTTCCAGCTCTATCTACTTACAGATCTCCAGCCTTTCTTCAGAGTCCTTTTGTAGAAAGGAGGAGACAGCTGGAGAGCATTCTAAGATTTAACGTCAGCCTCATTTATCTGAATATTCTGGCTGCAACGAACTTTATACCATGACTGAGCATCTCTTTTAAAATTGCTTGAACAGGATACAACAGATAAATAATTTTACAGCAGTAGAATTTTACAGATTGTATTTCATGAGATCATAGATCTTCATAAAGCAGCAAGGAACATGCAGTTCAGCACACAGCAGAGCTCTTAAAAGCGTTGCTCTATTGCTACTGTACAAAACCCACTTGTGTTATAGTGTGTCTACAGGAAGTTGATTCTTTTAAGATCTAAATAGTCTAATATGCTATCACACAAGTACAGCCCCTTCCAAATGCAGTGGAAGGAAATAATCCAAACTATAAATTGTGATCATACTCCAAACAAAGCTTCAACTCATGAGCAGATTCCACATGAAGCTTTAATTTACTCAGGACTTCTTATGTTTAGAATCAAATTATTTGGAATTATTTCATTAAAACATGTAATTCACTATTTTAATACTTTTGATTGAGATTTCAGAAATGCTAGTGCCCTGAGGAGCCAGTCAGGTCTATAAACTTGTTGCTTTGGGCATTGGTACCAGATGACAGAATCCTTTGTTTTTTCAAACCCTTTCACTAGAAAATTGTACATACTAGCAAGATGGGAATTGCTGACACTGCAGCAGGTAGTATTTTTTCCCTGTTGTAAGTGCACATCATCTTTGTCGTCTCCCTTTGATTATCTCATTGCTTCTGGTACTCCAGGTAAAATGATTCAAACACTGGGACTTCTTTCTTGTCTGGATAACTTCTGACAAAACATAAAATAGATACTAAACTAAAGAATGTTAGAAGTAAAATTGTAAAGAAGATTATTATGCAGAAGAATGTTTGCCTAGTCATCCTGAAACAAAAAGCACATACTGAAAGATGTAAATAAAATATGTACCACAATTTAAAATCTGTAGAGTAGATTCTAAATGCTGCAAGGGCTATCTCTTATTTTGGTGTAGTGGTTTGTACGGTGTGGCATGAACCCCAGTTTGGCATGTTTGTTATTCAGTAATCACTCAGAGCCAAGGAGTCAGGCAGAGCCTGCTTCAGTGGATGTCTGACTTGTAATTAACTGGCTTTGTATTGTGTAGCCCCTCAGCATTACCCAAATGCAGGTAAGCTGACAACAGAGGTTAGGCTAACATCTGACTCTTGCTAAATTCTGTACAGTTCCCACTGTCCAAGACACCACTGTGAGACACACAACAAACAATTACAGCAATACAAATTTGCTTTGTGTTTCTACTTCTATTTATTACAAGCACATGGCCTGCTGATGGTTCCCAGGATGCTGATTCTGCAGTAAGCTCCCAGTGTTAGTATATGTCTCATTAAAAATAAAGAAGATAACCTTAATCAACTCAGTGTTATGGAGCTCCAGCTTTCTGAATTGCTGCCAGAGTGAAAATTAGGAATTCATTAACTTGATCACTTTGAAGTTGAACTATACTGCATAAGTGATATTTGTTAGACTAGATTATCAGAAGACTCTTAGACTGTCTGTTTTATGCTGTTCTTGATTCCCCTTGCGGGGCATACTGCTACTGTGAATATGTTGGCTATTTTACTAAACTTTGAAACCATCAGCAGGTTTTAGTATCTGCTGACAATTTAAATAGTCACCTCCAAAGATGTCCACATTTAACAAATAATCAGCAGAACCTCTGCATTCACTCAGGAAAAAAAAAAGGGACATGTCTGAGGAGTGTTCCTTAGGACTCACTCTGTAAGTAAAATAACTCCAAACCTCTATTTAAAACATTAAATTATATTCAGTAACAGGAAAGAAAGCAGAGGATGAAAACTACCACTATAAGCCACATCCCTTAGGTGTTCAGAGGAGAGTTTTGGTAACTGGATCTTGGTGAGTGAGCAAGAAAACTTTTGACACATGGTTGAGACCAGCACTGCTGGAAACAGCTTCACTCTGCAGTGTACAGAGAACAATAGCTGTGGACTGAAAATAGATTTTACTCTCTTCATATATAAAGTATCCCCTGTACATAATGTATAACTTCATAAACAACATAAAATCTCACAGAATCACAGAATGGTAGGGGTTGGAAGGGACCTCTGGGGATCATCTAGT